AGAAACACAGGAGCCATTTATTTTTCCGAGTTTTCCCTCAGTTTTTTTTGCCCACTCACCCAGACACTGGAGGTGAAATGATGGAGGAATGCTTTTTTTTTTTTTTTACACCTCAGCTTTCATATTTCATCTAATGTGTTCGTGGTGCAGAATTCATCCACAGAAATCTAAACACAATATCAAAAATATCAAATGCAAGGCTAAACCTCTGCCCCCTGTTATTATTCTTGTTTTTTATTTATTCATTTGTTTTTATTTGCATTTTATTTCTTTGTACTGCTGAAGTTTTACAGGCGCAAATTTAGGGAAATTTATTCCTGGAACATTTTCACTGGTAAAAAAGAAAGAAAGAAAGAAAAGTTTCATATTCAATTAAATTAAGTTGAGTTCAAATCAAAAGGTGTCCATAGTGAATTGCATCATAAATTAAAATAATTTAAATGTATATATATATTATGTAAAAGGAACAATTATTTACCATTAATCCACACTTACTTTGATTATTCAGAATAAAAAATCTGTATATATAATATATATACATAATTTCTGTATATAATCAATATTATATTTATATAATATATAATGTACACAAATAATATATACACATATCTGTATGTATCACATATTTGTATAAAGTATAAACATGTATCTTTATATTTTTAATTATAGTTAATTTTTATTATAAATGATTGATTATCAAAGGACCGTACTACTACGTAATACTACTACGTAATACTACATGGTGAGTATACCTTGTAGTAACACACGTGAAAGTGAAGCCGCTGAGTTCTTGTAGTAAGATTTCAGGTGTGTGTGTGTGTGTGTGTGTGTGCGTGTTGATTAGCAGAGGCGTTCCATTGTCAGGTCACAGGGTCCAGTTATCTTCCAAGCTCCCACGTGTTTGCGGTAACGCTCCGCTGACCCCTTGATTGACAGGCCGGAGGATGAGGGCAGTGCCTGGGAGATTTAGAATCCGGGGATTGGAGGCCAGCTCACCGTGTGCATTTTTATGAGACGTTTCCTTCCAGAGGAAGTGGACTCTCAGCAGTCCAAGGTTAATCTAGATGTCAGCACCTGCCAAGAGTACAGCGGCTGGCTCTGCTCTCCAGCTCAGCTGCGGTGGAAACCCTAACGTGGCGGCTGATTGGTTGGCTCCGTAAAGTGTAAATCGTGGGATTTTTAAGTGTTGCCTGTTCCTCATCCCACTAGCTACTTGGCTGCTGGGATGGTTGCACAGTTGAGTAGGAATTATTTTACATGACGCATTAGTGATTCTTGTGTGTGGTTTGAAAAAAATACCAGCAGAGTCTTTGATTCCGTTCCCGTCACAGTTACCAGTCAAATAACAGACGCAAAAAAAGCATCTTCCCAGAATATCAGTCACACAGAAATCCATGGCATATTTAGAGAGTATGCGATGGCACAGAAATTGTTTGAAATATATCGACCTTTTAAAAACAGTTCTCGACACTCACCCCTTCAGTTTGTCAACGTGCGTTGCTTTCGTTCGGCGGAACAACCCAATTAGAGGGAATGCTTTTGGTGAAAGTACATTTTATTGCTGTCATCATCAACATCACACTCCTTATCTGGGTCACCGCGCTCTGATTGTCTGCGTGGCAAACGGAGTGGAAATTTTCCATTTTGTTTGGAGTCTTTCATCTTTGCGGCCCCGGGGGAAAACTCCAGGCACAATACGGTGGCGAGGGTAAACGGCTAACAGGTCCGCTTCTTCTCCAAGAGTCCTTGTTGTGGAAATGCAAAGAAAGAACTGAGGCAGATAAAGGTTAGCCCCGTCTTCTAGGGACTTGTCTCCAATCAGGCGTGATAAGAACGCCCCGAGGATTAGTGGCAAAACAACATGTTTGATGAAATAATAACCAGGAGATTTACATAGAGTCAGCGGTCGACGTCTTGGACGAGAAAATGTAGATAAATAAATTAGGGCTATCAAAATTATTATCCTTAATTAATTTGTGACCACATTCTACAAGACGCCACCAAGTGGTAAAGACAAAATACATTTGAGTTACGTTTTACGTTTACTTATTCCTTGACTTTCACGTTATTATTTGGATTAGTCACCATAAAAATGTTGCTAATGTCTTCTATTTACCAAAAATGTACAAAAGAAAGAGTCATATATACAGGTTAAAAAAATGTCAATCATAATTCTGACCTACTTCAGTTTCTCTCCCCTTCTTTCAGATCGAATTAAATTGCTCAATTTAAGGCAATTGTCAGACGGCAAATAGTTACAGGTTGATAGAATAACAACAAGTTTACTTTCCTTATTCATTGGATTTAAATGTTTTCGTTTTTCAAGTACCAACCAAAGTGTGTACAAATTCAAGGCATTCAACAAACACTGACTCAGTTGAGAATTTTTTTTTCAATTAAGCGAGAAAAATAAACAAGCAACGCACTTCCTTTTGCTACAGTGGAATGTGAATAAAATTCATCCTTGTGCCGTTGAAAAGACATATAGAAAACCACGTCATGACAAGTTTACACGTTAATTAAATCGAAAGGTCAAATAAATTCATTCCGATGTTTTTTTTTTCTTCGCCCACAGATAGAGTACGCTACACTGAAACAGAATTGTCGGTGCGATTCCGTAGGTTTGAAACCAACAACTACACATCACTCCATGTCACTACTGAACCACAAGATTCAAATACACTCATTAGCCGTTACTGTGTTCTCGTCTGCGTCCTGCCAACTGAGAGAATAAAAAGATTACATAAGTGTTTCAGTCCGTGTGTCCGCAGTAATCGCTCAAAATGACACAAAGATTTTTATTTTCCAATAGCCTCGTCACATAATGTTTATCATCCACAGAATGAAAGCTCCATCATTTACCCACTGAAATCAATGCTTTATCCGAGGCCTATAATTAACAACTGTATTTTTCTCGCAGTGTTATTATAAATGAGTGTAGGCTTTGAGAAATGATAACCAATTTATTTTTCACACAGTAGGAACAAACCGGGCCTTGCGGTGTCCTACATACAGCGATTATATCCGTACATTAGGAGAAAGAGCTGCTACGGAAACTACGGCATTGAGTCTGAAAATGATTCCAATCACCTTATATAATGTACAGAGGATTCATCCTCAGCTGATGGAAGGTTGATCATCCCTAAAAATGGGGGGTGGGGGAGGGTGGAAGTTGTCCAAGCTGTACTTTGGAACGGTTTATGGGGGTGGAGACTGCGAGCGTGATGGAACATCTCTCACGGCTCTGGTACCGAAACGTAATTCTTAGCTGACGTAAATGGAAGTCCGTGGCCACAGGCCTAAAATGTGCTTTAGATAATTATCAGCTGCGTAAAGACATGTATAAACTATTATTGGCATTTAGGCCTGACCCGCTCTTAAATCTGTGTGTGACACACTTGGCTCATGAACCACAGACGGGATTAAAACGTGAAAAAAAAAAAAGGACAAGAAAACTTTCAATGACACTCACGCACTTTCTGGATTGTTGGAGAATTGTTGTGGTATAAACGGTTCAAATCTTAGCCAGGAATGAGTTGTGTGTATGTAGTCCCACAACTAGCCTATAGGTCGTGCTGTACTCCATAGGACACCTCTGTGTTTTACAAATGCATTTACTGCAGCGATTTGTAAAGAACTGACAAAAAGATGCCGTTTTGTCGTTTTTGAAAACATAAAGCGCTTTTACACCGACCGCAATGAAGAAACATCGATGTGAAACTCCAATCCTATTCCTTTTCCCAGTGCTGTGCATTTCCTATAATAATATTACAAACCACAGTCTGAGCACGAGGGATTTGAAACAAGACACTCTCCCACACACACACACACACAAATGCACACACACACTTGCGCAGACCGAAACATAAACAAAGCGTGCAGTAATAAAATAATCAATAAACAATTACTGTACACGGCCATCAAAACACTTTGCTTACAGACCTCCAGTCCCGCGTTGCTGACTGTGTCTCCGTTGTCCCATTAAAAGTACAATTGCAGATAAAACAATAATAAGACGTCGCTGTTGCTGAACACTCGCCACTGACGCGAAAACTCATTTAGCATCTGAAAAGCCAGGCTTGTAGTCGTCGGTCCATTTACTAAGTCTAAATTGTACCTTTTGTTTTCTAACCATTTCAGATCGACACTTCCCCGCCTTCCTACCTCCCCCTCTGCCCCCCCCTTGAAATAAATACAGCTTTTCTTTATGCTAAATTAGCATGCTTATGCTAAATGAAACTGTGTGACAGGTCAAAGGTTGTAGATAAAATATGGCCTAAATACAAAACATAAATAGATCATTATGATTAGAAGCCGGTGGGGAATAATATCAAACAATAATATTTAAAATTAATCCTCCTTGTTTTCCTTCTTTGTGGTCTGGTTATGTTTATACTGCTATAAAGAAGCCGGTGGGGAATAATATCAAACACAGACTTATGGACTTGTTGAGCTTCTATTTAAAATGAATTATTTTTGTTGCCCTGTTGTGTGGTAATGTTTATACTGCAAATATCTCTTATGTTTAGCTGTTCAGGAAGGTTTGATTTAAAAACTTTACTAAACAGCTCTTGTTTTTTCAGAATTTACATTCTGTTTTACAGTTTTACATTCAAAGTCAGTTTTTAGTTTTTACTTGAACGCTTTGAACACATCGTTTCGTGTCTTGTACTGACATTTTGCTCTAGTTTGTTTTGCACTAGTCACTTGTCTTACCACTTTAATGTAAATGACACTATCATCTGCATAGCCGTTCACAATGACAAATGTCTGATTTTCCTGTAAAGGCAGGTGTTGAAAAATATTAACAGACATTTATTGATTCGGCCGACTTTCCAACTGTGACTCTATATTGAGAAGGAAAAAAAAAAAACGAAAAAAAACAAAACAACAGAAAATCTATATGAACTTCACAGGTGCTGATGAGTAGCCAGGCCTGACCTCTGTCAGGACAAACATCTTCTTCCCCAGCTCTTTGACACATTCAGATCAAGACCAGATTTAGTCAAATCCACACATCTTTATAAGACAGGACAAAATGGAAAAAGGAGCGCGTCTGATTGTTTGAAGACATTTTCTTAAGAGAGTCACATTAATACAAAGATCTATCATGGAATACCAGTATTTCATATACTGCAATTGTTATACCACATTTTTTTTATATTTCGTAACGTGTACATCGTAATATGCCAACTTTGCTTCAAAAAGTGTTCAGTTAGTTCATCCAAGAAAAGAAAAAAAAAACAGAAAGAAAGAAAGAAAAATGTTCTGAACCACAGTAAACTCACCATGAAAGGATTACAATACCCTGCAAAAGCTCACAGTCAGTGTCATAATGTCTTTAAGCGTTTACCACAAGAGAACACACGAGAACCAAATGCTTTGGGTGAGTGGTTGGATTCCATCCTGCCTTTATAGAAAAACGTTTGAACTAAGTGAATGGTCAGAAATGACTCAGACGAACTTGAGGAAACAGAGACAACAGCAGTGTAAAAGTGTGATGGTCGGCCGAGAGAATAAGAATAAAGAGTGAGAGGCTAGAACATATGCAGGTGATTCATAAAATAAAACTGCTGCCTGAGGTTTTCAGTGATGTCAGAGAAAACTCACATTCTCATTTTCTTAAAAGAAAAAAAAAACAACAACATACTTTTATACATTTTTGCTCACAAAGACTTGGTTTGCAGTGATTTTCCGTCTCACTGGTGTTTGATTATTAGTGTTGAACGGTGTGGATCGTCTTTAGGTGTCACAATTCAGAACAACATTTTCATGTTCACAGTTTCTAACATAATATTAATAATAATTAAATAAGAGAAAAAAATAGCAGACGCCACACTTAGCTTATCAGCTCGCGTCACGATGTACCGCTCATGAATGAACGAGTGTCTACCTGCATCGGTGGCTCTTCTCTCGATGTAGCAAAAGAGATTTGAATTGTATTACAGCAAGAGTGGGTGTAAAACCTCATCATTGCTAAACATGCAAAGGCCACAAGTGTGAGGGAGAAAAGTAAAAACCAGATTTAATACTGATGATAACAAAAAAAAAAAAAATACACCACCAGGATTAATGCATCATTTTGTTGTTGCAAATGAAATGTGTGGAGGAGGAAAAATTCATCATGTTTCTTTTCATGGCGTCTATGCAGATGATGGGCTCCTGGACAGAGTGTTAGGAGGTTCCATCGATTGGAACAAAAGTTCAACGTAATGAAATACAGTAATTGCTTTCTTGCCAACAGTTAAATGATAATAACTGCCCCACTTTAATGGTTGGAGGAGAGAAATGAGTGCAGCTGAGGACACAGACTGAACCAGGACTGGATTAGACTGGCTCTGACCTCACCCAGAAAACGCTGTTTATTTAGGGGTGAGAGAGGGAAGGATAGGGGGAGGGGGGAAGTGAAGCAAAAAAAAAAATTGACACATTTCACACTCACATTCACACCTATGCCCCGTTTGCTCATCGCTAATCCCTACTAGACATGTCTGTAAATGCTAACCACCTGAGCCCCACGCCCCCTGGTGTTGGGGGAGGGGAAAAGTGATATTTCCCGATATATTTCCATGTAGCTGAATGATAACAAACACAGTGACGCATCACTGAGTCTGGGATTTTCTCACATTAGGTGAAGGAAGTTTCATGTAACATTTCACTGTCCGTCTGTTAGTCCACCACAGCCTCGGCCAATTGGAAGTGTAGTCTCTGGGATTTCAACACTCTTTGATTATTACGTACCAAACAAAAGCTACGGCTCCATAGTTACTGCAAGAATACTCCGAGTGTAATTTTCTCAGTAATATTTTTCCAGCTCTGACATGGCGGCAACAGGATATGTTTTTTTAATTACAACTGAATGTATTACGCACTGCACAGTTTCAGTGAGGCGGACTACAGAATTGCCGAGTAAGGCTTTCTTTGAAGGCTGTTTTTTGTTGTTGTTTGTCGTCGCCGAACGTGTGTAAATTACTAAAATGTCTTTTAACTTTGGAATCGTGTCTGTAAACAGATGCAGCTTTTCCACGTCTGGGTTTTCTTTTTCCCTATAGGACAAAGCCAGCCCACCAGTATCACTGTTCACAGTCTGCGCGTGCTAAGCTAACACTCTCACCCGGGCTGCTGCGTCAGACCCAGCAGACAGATTAGAGGAGCAGTATCTGAGAGTGTAAATAATCACACTCTGGCTCACAACGTTCAGTCGTTTCTTTATGTTACACATTTTCCTAGACTGTGTATGCAGGGCACACACACACACACACACTGCTGCCTGACAAATGATTTATTATCTCACTTAACAAAATGTTTTCTTCAGAGTGGAAAAATTGTTTTATACCATAAAGCAGAAAAAAAAATTTGACAGAGCTTTTTCTCCGAGCCTGTGAATGTGTTTTAGGGCCGAGGAGCGAATGTGAAGTGTGAATCTGAGGTTTCAGCACCTCGTGTGAGGAGAAAAGTGTGGAGATGAACCATGGCTCAAAGTTGTCCTCTGTTCTCCGACAGTCTGTGATTCAGTGTCAGTGGACGTTTCCCATCTGCTTCTGGCTTTCAGCACTAGACAACTTTCCCAGCGCCGACACAGGATCGTTGTCTCAAAACACGTGAAACACAAATACCAAAGCTCCAAACTTCAGCCGCCCACGTCACGGTCGGAGAAAGAACCACAAGAATGTCCTGAAAATAAGTTAACATAATTTTCCACACATAGAATTTTACAATATGTACACGATATTTAAATTAAAATAGATTTGTCAGTTGTCTGATTGGGTCGGTCCTCCATCCACTGCTCCCTGTCTGTCATCTGTTCAGTGTAATTCCACGGACGGTGAGTTCCCACTGAAAACTCAGCACTGGCCAATCAGAGTGCAAGTAAGGCTTCTGTCGTCAAGTCCCCGCCAGTGGTCGGTGAGACACACATGGCACGCCCACGAACACTTTGACAAAAGAAATAAATATAAAATATATGTAATATTTCTATATATATATATTTATATATTCATAAATCCAAACCCAGGACTGATTCTAACTCTCACACGTTCTCTCTCTGAAACAACATTTTTGCCTGTCTTCATTCCTTCCCTTTTTTTAGTCTCATCTTTATGAATATTTGCAGTTTTTTTTGTTTTGTTTTTTTCTCAACGGGGGAAAAAAAAAGTCTTCTTCAAACCTGTACATCATGTAGTACGCAAGTAAACAAAATGTAAAAGTGCGTGTTTTTTTGAATACGTTTTATCCACTATATCCAAAAGTGTTGCAGGCACTTAAGTCCTTCCCAAACGTTGTAGGTGTTTTCGACAGTGGAGCAGGTTGGTTTGGTTATTCCTGGATTCGTGTGTGTCGGTCTGTCTGTACGCAGAACAGCCAATCCCAGGCTGCGCTAGCCGAGGATGTCCAGGTAGACCGGCGTGGCTTTACCCATGGCAAACAGGACCTTCTGAATGTCCTTAATGTTCAGTCGCTGCTGCGGTTCCCTCTGCCAGCAGCCCAGCATGATGTCATACACCTCCTTAGGACAGATCCGTGGCCTGTCGAGAACCCGACCCTGAGTAATGCACTCAATAACCTGTGGAGGAGAGAGGGCAGCGGTGTGAGACGGATGATTTTCACTGGCTGATTGTTTTGCTTTGCTCTTAATGAGAAAGCAGTGACACAGAGCAGACTGTCCTTTGAGTTTTGAGCTAATGAAACTGAGATGAAAGAAAAGAAAAAAAAAACTTTCAGTCTGACATGTGTGCAATATTAACAGGAAGTAATGACCAACGAGATAAAATGACCAAAAGATGGCGGTAACGCAACGTAGGGAACGGAACCATAAGAAGTACGAAAAGTGAGATGAATTATTAACGAATGTTTACTTCATGTTTCTCAACAAAAAAAAAAAAAGTCAGAGGAGGTTTGAAGTGACGCTAATAAAGACATGAATACTTTCTTTGATTGACATCCTCTGAGCAGCAACATGACTCACTGCTGTTTGTGTCAACGGGAGACCGACATGACAAGTTTACTTGTTTGTAAGAAAAAGACGAATCCGTCAGGGTGTCGACAGCGACACTTGCTCAGATTTATTTTTCTCTCCTGTTACTTCTGTAATTTTAACAGCTGTACAATAATCACGGAGAAAAGAACGCGGCATCAACAAATTAATGACATTTCAGATCAGGTGAGGTTAGATCACGGTCAGGAAGTCACATTTTAAAATCTGGTACCAGCGTGAATGGATGTTGGTCTCTACAGTGTCGTTGGTCCTGTGATGGACAAGTTGAACCCTGAAAAAGTATTAAATGGTAGAATCTGAATGGATGAATGACTGACGGCCGTTATGATTTTGTTGAATTGGCTTTTTTCAGTCAAATGTTTCGTCAATAGGGATAAGGAGTCGGTGAAAACACTCCAGGCCTCTGCATTGTGAGTTTAGCAGATCAAGGTTTTTATTTGGTTTTTTTTATAGTTCTGATTTCCTGGTCAATTCTTCCACAGTAATGATTTCTGTGAAGACCATTAGGTGACAAGTAATCACCGTTGAAATAAGCTGTGTTCACAGGTGCAGGGTTGAAGGACTGAATATATCTGCACATCATTTTCTGCAGCATTTCTAACGCTCGGCTACTCTTCAGCTCCATTCAGAGGTCTTGGCATTTCCACACTCCCTAACACATCGTTGGCTTTAAATTAAAACGGAATCTCATTTAAAGTCTGGCTGGCTTTTCCTCACTCTCTGTTTTGCTCCTCACTGTGTGATTTCTGCTGACTGTGATCATGGAAAAAACTACAGGCCAGCAACTTATCGATGTGATAAATGGTGACCGCAGGATAAACTAGTGCAACTGTGAATTTAAGCAGGAAAATGTGGTAATGTCGGTCACTGGGGATAACTTAAGGGAACAGAAACCAGAAACAGAGGTGATGACAAAAATTAAAAGTTGAGTGGAGGAGGAACAATGTGGAGCTTCAAATATATTTAGTTTTGTTCCTAGAATAATAATAAAGGAAAGATGAAGCAGTGCTTTGCCATCCATGTCCAATGAGCCTGTTGTTAAAATAAAAAAAAACAAACAAATCTCAACACTGAGGCTGTCTCTGCCTAACAAGCCGTTCAGATTGACAGATGAGCAGCAGGACATTTAGCTCTAGGATGTAGCGACAAAGTAGTGATTTAATAATATTACGTAAAAGGAAATTGTTGCCAAAAAAACCCCTGAACTTTTGTCTTTATACGGTCCATAAACTACAGCTGCATGTCTCAGCCTCATGTTTACATTTAATTTAACTCCAATCCCTAAAGTGCTTAGATGCAGAATTAAGTTGTTTTTTTTTTTTCCTCCGTTAGTCACGCGGCCATTTCTGTTTCATGAACCACAGTGATAAAAGGACAGGCTGACAGGGTGACAGACAGAACCACGGTGTCTACAGTTGGTAAGACTTTGTGAAACACATCAGCCGTTATTACAGCTCTTTGTCACCATGTTTTTCATTCTGCACGGCCTGAGCATCATTTATACTGCTTTCCCATAATTCATGCGCGGCTCCTACGAGTGTAACAGTGACATTTTATTGTTTCTAACAAAGTTCAAAGCGGTTTCTTGAAAAAAAAAAAGAAAAAGTCAACACTGCAGCTGCACTGTGAACAATGAGAGAGAGTATAAATCCTGGTTGGGAAAAACTGTGGCCTTTTTGTTGCAGCATAATCTGCCCAGTGATTTATCACTGTCACTGATCCCTATTTATAATTGCTGGAGCGGTGTATTACAGTGTTAGTTGACAATAACTGCAATCTTTTAATTTAGGAAAAAAACAAAACCAGAATTTTGGAAAAATCATATTGTGATTTTGCTTTCTTTTTTTCATTTTTTCTTTTTTTTTTTGCCTGGGAAGGAATAACTCACTTTTCCTTTCAGATTATCGTAAATTTTCAGTGGAGTCGTTTCATCAGCAGAGTGTTTCGTTCAGTGTCCCAGAGCAAAAAAAAAAAAAGAAAAAAAAGAAAAAGGAAATTCCTGTTTGTGTCAAGCCAAAAAACATATTGATCTTTCCACTGAAATCTCGTGCTGTTCTTTTTTTTTTTTTTTTTTTTTATTTTTTTTTTTTTTTTTGCCTGGGAAGGAATAACTCACTTTTCCTTTCAGATTATCGTAAATTTACAGTGGAGTCGTTTCATCAGCAGAGTGTTTCGTTCAGTGTCCCAGAGCAAAAAAAAAAAAAGAAAAAAAAGAAAAAGGAAATTCCTGTTTGTGTCAAGCCAAAAAACATATTGATCTTTCACCTGAAATCTCGTGCTGTTCTTTTTTTTTTTTTTTTTTTTTATTTTTTTTTTTTTTTTTTTTTATTTTTTTTTTTTTTTTTTTTTTATTTTTTTTTTTTTTTTTTTTTATTTTTTTTTTTTTTTTTTTTTATTTTTTTTTTTTTTTTTTTTTATTTTTTTTTTTTTTTTTGCCTGGGAAGGAATAACTCACTTTTCCTTTCAGATTATCGTAAATTTACAGTGGAGTCGTTTCATCAGCAGAGTGTTTCGTTCAGTGTCCCAGAGCAAAAAAAAAAAAAGAAAAAAAAGAAAAAGGAAATTCCTGTTTGTGTCAAGCCAAAAAACATATTGATCTTTCAACTGAAATCTCGTGCTGTTCTTTTTTTTTATTTATTTTTTCGGTGGCTCATGCCAACTTATTATTTTAGGTCAATTTAATTTTCTCAATATGCTGACTTTATAAGATCAGCTCTAATTAAATTCTATTGATTGTAGGCAAAGCAGAAGATGAAAAAACCTCTGCTGTTGTCCAGTCATGTCCAGTGAAGAAGCTGCATTTGTTTATCACATGGTTGATCGAACTGAAGAATCGGAAGAACCGACTTCAGATTTGAGTCACCTCTGCCTGCAGTTTTATTTTCTGTGTACTGTATCTTTAAAGCTCTCCGTTACCTCATTGTTGCCCAGTTGAAACCAGGGCTGTTTCCCGTACGTGAAGATCTCCCACAGAATGACTCCAAAGCTCCACACGTCGCTCTCCGTGGAGAATTTCCTGTACATGATGCTCTCTGGGGGCATCCAGCGAATTGGTAGCATGGTGTGTCCTCCCACCTGAGAGGGTGAGAGGGGAAAAGGAGCGATGGTTAAGGCAAATGGCAGCGTAGTTAAAGGAGAGATTATAAAATGTAGTCATCAACACAACAGCCCGGCCTCTGAGGATTAGCTCTCCCTGTGTGTAACTGATACACGGGCTTAACATCTCATGAATAAACGCTGCGCTGTTGAATGTCGGCGGCGATGCTATGCAGCAGAAATGCTGACTTATCCGCCACCTGTTCTTTTATGTATTGAATTAGAGCATGTGAAATTCTTCAGGATTTGGTATTAGAGCGGGTCTTTGTTGTCGATGCAAAACAGCAATCTTCGGTCGGGAGCTTCAAAAGGAGAATCAAAGGCCTGAACTGTGATCAATTCTGTGTTTACTTTGTGGGGTTTTGATGTGACGGTTCTGAGTTGAAGTGGTAGAAAAAAATGTACAATATGGAGCGATGCACTTTGATGACGGAGAGGTTCGTCGTGCGTGATAAGATGGCCACTTGAATTCTGCCTCCATCCAATCACACAGCAGCAATGTCTGACAGCTGAATGTCTTATTAGAGCCTAAACTCCACACAAATACCAGCAGTTGGCTCTTTAGTGTCTGGAAAACCAGCAAGACGTGAAACCAACTCTCCTTTACTGTAAACGCTCCGTAGCTGCATATTAATCATCTTCTACAAATATCCATTAATCATCCTTACTCCCAGCTTCCACTGGCAGACATTATTACATCTATTACATCTATTTCCCAATTATGTCAGCCAGGAGATGAGATGGACAGGACTGATGTGGAAATGAGCAGCAAAGTGTTGCAGATTTCCACTGCCTGTTCCTCAGACGCTGCTGATCACAGTGATTATTATGAGCCTCGCTAGTCAGAGTTGATTAACCCACAGATAATGGCATTAACATACAGTAGGGCTATCGTTTGATGTAGTGGCTGCAGCTGCTGGTGTCTTATTGGTGTTGTTAGTCGTCATCGTTGTACCGAGGTGGCATCGCTGCACTGCATCTGACGTTCTGACATTTTATTTTCCGGCACCAGGTCAGATATTTTTATATGCTGTGTTTTATTTAAACTCGATTTATATTGATGAAAGTGAAAGTTTAGGATTGTTTGTTGTGTTTTACATCAAAATTTAAGATTTAAAAAAAAATTTTTTTGATCATAGAGTAAAAATAAACTTCCACATCAACCATATGATGATAAATCAAAAGAAAAGATCTAATAGTTTTTGACGGCACCGTACAACACAGATATTCAATAATACGTTCCATCACTCGACGCCTGCGCCGACAGCCTTCAGCTCCGAGGCATTTTAAATATTGATTAAAAAAAAAGTGACACTGCCACCTCACTAATTACCTCTTAGTAACATGGTGAACTCATTTCCTGTTTCCCTTCAAAGTCCTCCTATCAGCCAGGTCCAGCAGGACAATCAGCCCAGAGTTAATGAAGACACTTGACATTATTCAATCTGCCAAACTCTTGTTCATTCTTAATCACTGCAAATGTACTTGATATTCATGCGGCCTCTTCTTTGTACTTTATTGACTTTGACGTCCCGATTAAGACACAGTTTTATTTGATTTAACAAAAAACTCAAATAAAAATCGTTGGTAAAGTCACAGGCAAAAAAAACAAAACAACAAAATCTCGTTATTTATCAGCTATAAAAAAGATTGTTGGAAATTTTGAAATTGTTTAGTTTTTTTTTTATGTACCATGAGGGAAATGATCATATGTGAACAAACAGACATCATTCTAAATATCATGTTATTAACCTGGTTAACAATAACAACTGGTTAATAGTTTGTTAATAGTCAGCGGCGGTCTGTGGTCAGTGCTGTAGACAACACAGGTGTTTTCACTTCAATTTGAGACGAGACTTTAAAACAATTGGTTCCCATGGTAAAAAAAAAAAAAAAACAACCCAAAAACTAAAACTACCCACAATGCACCAGCCGTGCTCACAATACACTGCTGTCAGTGGCGATCGATGACAGTTACAGCTTTACTTTGAAAAAGTGAAGTCCTGGAAATTCAAATGCTGTGACAAAAATAAAAAAAAAAGTCCTGCCCCTCAGGAGAGTTCTGGCTGAGGGAGTTATAAATTGTTTATAAACCATGTGCTCTCAGGTAAATATTCTTTAAGATTCTACATTATCCCACAGGGAGATGCCTCCTGACATTTTACCTCCCGGAGACATTAACTCCTGTCTCCGCTGCAAGGTTTCTGCAGAGAGATCCTCAGCCTGGTCTTGAGTTTTCTAAAGAGTTGGAGATGACTGGTGTAGCAGTGTTAGCCGCGCGCTGGAAATCAAAGGGCTGAATACTTTCCTTATATAACAGTCAAATGGATATTTTTTTTACACATGGCCTGCAGGTCAACAAGACCATTAGAGACAGTTTTCTAACAAGAACACCTTCATGCTGACTGTGTATCAAAACCACATTCCATTAACCTCTTCAGTGTACAACATTTGGTCTGGTCTTTCAGCAAAACAAATGGAGGGCATCCTTTAACTCCCCAGGCCTCCTACACTGACGGGGATTTTTAAATGTACTCTGTTTCTGTCAAGTTTGAAGCCAACACTTCTGTTTCACTATCCCCCGGTTACAAAAGTTACATTCTAGTTGGTTTTGTTTTGTTTTTTTCTTCTCAACTTTCCAAAAAGCATTGTGATATAAGTGAAATCTCCAAAACAAAAATAATCCTTCTTTTGCCTGCTGGCTGCAACGCTGACTGAGTGGAAGCTTAAACAAGTACAGTTTAATTCTCAAACCGTGAAAGACAATTAGGGCTGTCAGTGTTTTTTCTTCAGTAGGAGGACAGCTAAAATCATAAAGGACATCAGTTTGAATATGAACAACTTTCAGCACCCTCTCTCCCTGCCTCTCCCACTCTCTCTCTCTCTCTCTCTCTCTCTCTCTCTACGTCTTCAGCTTCAGTTTCACCAACAGTCTCAGAGGAGAGTTTTTCCTCTGCGTTCTCTTCAAACCTCATTAGCCATAGGTTCGCCCGGAAGCTAATGGCTAAATTTACGCTGACTTTACACACCACCTGGTCTCATTAGACATGACATGTGTTGGGAATGTACACAACATTAAACCGATATTTAAATACGGAGCAGTCGCCACTGCTGTGTGAAACCTCTGAGCCATGTTTGCTGGTTAAGTGGAGGAGCAGGAGTTGGTTCGGAGTTTGGTACCAACACCAATAGTTTCCCCCTGTGGAGCTTAATAAAGATTAAAGAGAATTAATTAAGTACCTGTTTGCCTAAATGACTTATCTGAGGTCCACCCTGCCAATTGCATGCAAGGCTAAACCTCATAAGACTCATGCTAATGACTCAAATCCACTGCCATTAAGGAGGGGCGGTGTTAAAACTCGGGCTTCCCAAATGCCTGCACGCAATCACCTTGGCTTTTAGAGGCAAGGCCGTGGCAATTAGCCTGGTACATGGTAGGAAAAAAAAAAGGCCTGCACACATAATAAAAATAAAATAATTGCCCATGTAATTACCCTCATCGTTCTCACTCAATGTCACATTGAGAAGCTGGAAATGCTCTGCGGGGAGTGAGAAATGAGTCTGGGGCTTTTTTTTTTTTGTTGCTGTGTAAACTGGATTAGCGCCGTGCCTGTCCCACCGTGGCAGGAGACTGATTGGATTAGAGGCATGGTGAGCACACCAGCATGGCAGGAGGATAGATTACAGGCCCAGTTGGGCTCACTGATGGGCACTCTGGGGTGTGCAGGAAGCCCTGGGAGGCCCCCAGACTCCTTAAAGGGCCCCGATAGCCATCACCAAACAACCTCGCTCCCTCTGCTCGACGCACGCTGCTATCTCTGCTCTCCCAGCCCAAACGGCAGAGAACACAAGTTCACTTTTATAGGCTATGATGTCCATTAGGTTTATACCTGCTGTGCTGCTGCCAAGTGGAGATAAAGTGGTATCTACTCAGGCTGCGAAAATGCCTGTAGGTGGTGAAGTTTTCAGAATGTTTTCAAAATACACACAAATGAAATCCTACACACAAACACACACATTCATATCAATTGCTCTGAAGAAAACTATATGTATGTTTATATTAATCCTGATGTTTTTGGATTTTATTTTATTTTTTCGCCTGTAAACCTGAAAGAGGAAATCATCCAAACTCCACACAGAGGCGCCATTAGCTCGGCATCAAACCGCTGATTTCCACACTGTAAGCAGCAGCACTAACCGTTCACAGTTTTGCTGAAAATATTTCTGCATGGATCCTCGGCATCCACAGCTCATGAATAATGTAAAGTCTTCCAGACAAATTGAACTGCGGGTTACTCCAGGTTCCAGTGTTGAATAAATACTGATTATAAAACTAGAGCTAATGACTATTCTAGTCTTCAGTATCCTTTCCACCGCCATCTTTTAAAAGTTATTTCCATCAAAATTCATCGAGTCCGACACAAAAACACGATAGAGAAATTGGATGTGGTTTAATCCCCTGCGAAGGGCTGTTTGTCTAGTAAACATGAGTTTACCAAATAAGTCTATTAGCTCAGCCCTTTGTTAACAGTGTGGTTCCGTGGAGAGGCTTTTCAGACTGAGCCTTTGTTTCCACTGATTAAAGTTCATTTGTTTAGTGTATTTTTATTTGAATATAAAACAGGTCATAAAAGCTAACATTGTTCCATTAACTTTTGTCGGCCAAATTAAAACGGCCAACAATTTCAGTCTAATTAACCTTAGTAAAAACACTGACAGTGCGTTAAAAATAATAATAAAAAAATCGCAACCTGTGAAATTTTGACTGTAAATGATGACATTTTATACATACAATATAATGTTTAATGTAAACAGTCAACAGCCAGGTGAGTCGTAGTGAGGTTTGTACGACTAATTATTTGATTGTTTGTTCTATAAAGCAACCTCTATGAACCTATGAACGCTGTGGAGCTAAACTCTAAGATATGCTAATGCTATTTTTTCAGTATTAATGATTGCATCTTTTGAATATAGTATTAATAATTGCATCATTTGAATAGGTCACAAATAAAAAAACAGGTGAGAACCAAAAATCTACAATCTGTTATCAGTCTTTCTGTTATGACAATATAGAGAAAAGAGAAGTTTTGTGTTTGGGAATGATTATTATCTCAATTAATCGTGATCGAATGGATAATTCCCAACCTAAATGCACTACCCTAATATTAAAATCACTCTTTTCAAATGGATCAGTTATAGATACGACAGAGAAATGGCGAACAAACTGTTAAGCTGGAACAAAAACTTCTTCACTACTACAGTATTTTTTTTACTTGTTTTACAATGGCTACACAGACCCCAACAAACCTCAGTGTCAGAGAGGAACAGTACTGCTGGTTGTGTGGAACTATTTTAGTTTCCAAACCCATGCCCTGAACAGCGAAAGGATGTCACTGAAACAGGTGCTTGTCACGGTGAGCTAAAATAAAGTCCAAAGATAAATCCAAAATCCAAGGCTCGTAGTGTGGGTGTATCAGTAACAGTGACGTAACTGAGGAGAAATAATGCTGAGTTGGCCTCTAGAAAGTTGGCCCTATAGAAAACATTTAACTAAAAATACATATTATTATTATTAACATCTGTTGTTGTGTTCATTGTGATAAACTATAGAGTCAATCTTTCTTTTTTAAATAGTTAAAATAAAATACATTTTAGCCCCTGTGGTTTAATTGTAACTAACTAAGCTAAGCTACCAAAGCTAACTAGCATGTGACAACCTCACCTGAAGTACACACACCTGACAGTAGTGTTTATCATCTTATCTCAACTTTATTTTAATCGAGAGCATGTTGTTATTCTCTAAAAAAAAAAATGCAGCAACTCTTATTTCCTATGTCCTGTGAAGGCATCATCTTAGGTCAGAAGAAGTGCATCTCCTCCATTTCATAGATTTATTACTCCATAAGAGAGTGATCATGTAAGACAAGGATGGTAGAGAGAGATAGGCAGAGAGAGAGAGAACAAGACCCAAGGGCAAAGAAAGAACAGATTTTTTCATACTCTCTTGCAGCAGTAATAAATATGGCCTGTGTACTCATTAGCACTAAGCTACATACAATTTTGAGAAGCTTTGCTTGATAAATAATGCAGCAGGGAGGTGTCTGTTTGATCCTTGAAACAGCACAAACCTGGGAACCATTTGTCTTCCTCACAATGCGGCACAGGTAAGCACAGGCCTCCTGGCAGAGTCATGAAGAACACCAAGTCCTTGAAACTGAGTCATTAGATCATCCTGTTATTGCAGTGGTTGATAGTTATTGGCCCATAACTCAAAAAAGCATCTGTTGGACCCACTTTTTTATGTTTTTATGTACAAAACACTAAGGATAGCATTGTGATTTTGTCGCCCTCCTTCTGTGGTTAAATGACACATTCTTTCTCCCACGACGGCGCTGCTTTACATTCAGAGAGTGTTGCAATCACAGAAATGAAGAAGGGAGCCGTTGCTGCCATTGCTAAATGAAAATACTCAATCCACAAGTGAAGCCTCTGGAGACAAAGTCTGCAGAATGTTTAATTTTCTCCTAGCAAAGCGCAGAAGCTCTAAGCTTCTTCATCTTTTCGTTGACAACCGCTGTGCGGCTGTTCATCGTTTGGCTGTAGTGTGTGAATGAATGAACGGATCGGTGTATAGAAATGACACAATGACTTTTGGAATGAGTTAGTTTGAACTTTTCCTACCATTTAAAAACTTCATAAAGAGCTACTTTTTAGGACGAGTACGACCCCCAGGGTGGATGCACCCAACATTCCTTTTGAATTTACATTTTCAGTTGTACTTTAACACACGGTTCACTCCAGAAACTGCTTACTATCACTTTTGAAATAACGTACGCATCATAGAGAAGTGTAAAATGTAGGTATGTTACGTTAACACTTTGTGGAACCAGATACTGTTCTGTAGCGTGATCTTAACAAGTGTTTTCTTGAAGCGAAAAAGCCAAACAAAATCAAAGTGCAGACATGTTGATGCGTTGGTTGATATTAGCAGCACTGGGGTAAGAGAGAAAACATCAAGTCAAAGACCAGGACAAGCAGCACATGTAGCTTTTAGCTGGCTAACCCTTGCTAACCCTGGCTAATATCCATTCTAAACTCTAGACCCTATCATTCGCTTCATTTCTGTAACAAGGAGAGGAAATGGATTTTGAGAAGATTACACATAATTACATGTAAGACCCAGAGGTTCGTGTGTTATTCCAAGAAAACTCTTGGCACAGGTTCGTGTGTTATTCCAAGAAAACTCTGTGGCCGGCACACTTCTTTACTCCTGCGTTTTTTTTTCCACAGCCATTTACAACCAATCTCTCTTCACATACATAATTCAGAACCCAATTCTTTGAATTCAGCTGGGTGTTACTTGATGTACTACGGTGTATAGCAGCACCGCCGCAGATACATGTTCTGCTGCCGGCCTGTGCAGGAGCTGTTGCAGTCCTGTCTATTTTAAAAACAACCCAAACGCGTAGTTGTTTCAGGCAGAGTGGGAGGAAATGACAGACAGATGTGATTTAGGCAATGTGCTTCCCCCCTTTTTTTTGGGGGGAAATGTTTTCTACAGTGTCTCAGTCAGTCCCAGAGGGAAACACGCATCAATATGACTAGTCAGCAATGGGAGGATGGTGTTCTGGGCAAGGTGCTGCTATTTATAATCACTCAGCACAAGGGAAGGTGTCCAATACCGTTAGGAGCTCCTTATCTCTGAAATCTGTCAATACGCCTCAGCGGAGGAAGACAGCCGCGCTATCACAGAGCAGAGAATGGGACAAGACAGCCCACGCTGACACACATGCGCCGACACATGCAAATGGTCTCGGGTTTAAATGGATCTGTATCGATTTGTTGAGTTCAATGCAGAGAAAAAAGAAATTCCAACGACCGTCTACACCAGACACTGATTTAGGTTAGGATCTACTATTCAAATGACCAGACTGAAGTGATCGACCTATATAATATATATGTACTTTATATATGCACTTATATACTTATATGTACCTAATATGTTGGCTATACCTATTGAATGCATGATGCTCTACAATATCATTTCATTCTTGCAGTGTGTGTTGGATTCTACGCAGTACAGATTTATATTTATATGTGATTTGTTTTATTTATTATTATTTGCTCGTAATCTACCGATCTACTGGTAAATCACAATCTACTTTTTTGGCACCTCTAGAGGAGCAGATAGATGTAGATCATGCTAAAATGCTAAAATGCTTTTATCATTTACTATGCCATCTATTGGGGAATTGTGGGTATTTCAGGGAAAAGGCATATAATATAAATAAATTATATAATTTGGAAAACTTTGGGCGGGCCGGATTAAAAAGCAGAACGGGCCGCATCCGGCCCCCGGGCCTTATTTTGCCCATGTCTGCTCTTGAGTCTGTGTATGTATTGAATCACATATATTTATATATTTATTATCTGTTCACCTACGTTTTCTTTCTACCTGAAATATTACCAAATTATCAAATATATAACACATTTATATCCAAAGACAGTTCCTAACCGTATATTCCTAACTCCTTATTTCCTCTGAAATGAAGACTTCTTCCACTTCCTTCCTTCTACCCTGTGGCTCTTGTCATTGCTGGCTGTGCACAGTGTCAGTACACACAGACTCACACGCTGTTTCTCTTCACCTGTCAGTGAGAAACTGAATGCACTTGCAGTCTCACCTGGACCTGTGCTGTGTACAGACAGCAGGACCAACAGTGGGACATGTTATCAGAGTAACAAGGGCACAATCCCTCACCGTTGTCCCACTAAAGAATATTGATTGCCCTGTATAGGGAACATCACTGTATGAGGTTGGTAGACCACTGTACTGTGCACGTCATCAATCTTCAACCACAGTCGTACACCGGCCTGCCGACATCAGGGATTTTTTAATAGTATTCACATCTCTATGTATGTATACAGTATGTGTCTGTGTGTGTGTATATATATATACTTAAATAATACATTTTAGTAGTACAAGTACAAAATAAAAATGCGTCATTATGTAATCACAAGTTTTGCCACAGTGTATGAAAGAAAAAAAAACAACCCTATAAACTATTTATCGTCAGGCAGAACCAAATATTATCCAGCGTGCTGGTGATTCTCGACTTAAACTTTGCTGTAATTCATGCACACTGTTGTGATCGTTTCAAGTGTTATGCTGATTATAACTGCCTCCAAACGCCACTAAGCTGCTGTAATTAGAGACCCTCATTGAAAACTGTGCACGACTTTGTCTCCGACTGTAACAACCTGAACTCACCGCGGAGCTGAAACTTCCTCCCACCTATAACTATAGCATATCTATACAGTAATCCTGACAAAAACTGCACTTAATGAGTCATTCTGGGAATTAATTATTACACAGGATGCAACCACAGCGTGCACGGAACAGTGAGGAACATCCAACACTTTTTTTTTCCTTCTTCAGTGAAACCACCAGAGGGCATCTAGGTCGTCACTGCACAACAGTCAAACTGTAACAATGTTATACATATATAGAGAAAAAGAAGAACGCTGTTATAAACAAGGCTCACTACTCAACCTAGTGTTTGATCTGAGTGGTTCAGTTGCACTTAGAGAGAAAAAATAAGAAGAAAATACCAACAGAAATGAAAACAGGAGATGGTACTACAGTCTACTACATCTTTAATAAAATAAATTAATACATTTGTACTATATTGATCCCATATTTGGGAAGTTGTTGCGTTAACAGGCTGCCTCAGAGAGTCCTGGGAATCAAACCCAGGACTCTCTGCTTCCGAGGCAGGCGTGCTAACCGCTACACTATGGAACCAATTTTTGCTGAAAATGTCCATTTTGAACCTGCATGTAACATAGAAATAGAAATCCAGAACTCTTACCCTGTAGTAGTCACTGCTGTAAATGTCTCTGGACATGCCGAAGTCTCCGATCTTTACCAGTAGGCCGTTTCCCACCAGACAATTGCGGGTTGCCAGATCTCTGTGGACAAAGTGCTGGGATGCCAGGTAGACCATGCCTGAGGCAATCTGGGTGGCGATGTGCAGCATCTGGGACAGGCTCAGCTCCCCGTTGGACTGCAGTGGTTGGCCGTCTACCAGGATCATGGCATCTGGGCCGTGGGCTCTGGGTCAGGAAGAAAAATGTTCATTGATCTGATGAACTGAAATCAATGACTTCTTTAATCTCTGTTTTTGAATGAGACTGTAAGTTGCGCCGAGCAGTGGCCACAGCGATGGAAGTAATTAAAGCATATCCATTATTTATCCTCGCACTGCTTAGACTCCCAGGGTCAGGGGGTGGAGGGGGAGGGGGCGTGAGATAGAGCTCATATTGGCTAAGTAGAAGAGTTCACTCTGGACAGCTTGTTGGCCGAGGGCCGGCAAGTCTTAACCTAAAGGAGTGGTTCAGGCTTTTTTTTTTAAGTCTACTGCACCTGCAGTACCTCATACAGTATATGGTAGTACTTCCATCAGGAACTAGAGTACTAAGTTTACATCAATGTGGGAGATTGGGAATGTCAGTAATAGTTTAACTGTAGGAATAATCAGCCACAGTTAATTAGGTTCCATATACAGTATATATACACATATACATATACATATAACAGTTGGATCAAATTTTGTAGCTTGACTTTGACTTGATATTAATACTTCATTTTATGCATTTCCAGAATCAAATTTTAAAATAATTTAGCACTTATTTCTACCTGTACATTGGGTCCGACCGACCAACGTTCGCTTTTTTTCTTTGTTTGCTAAATGACTGATCTGAAGCAATTTTTGAATTTCAATTATATTTTTTAGCTATTTTGCTTTGCTCTTTGCTGTTCTAGCCTTTTTTTTTCTAAGCATTTAGCAATCTTTGAGATCTTTTGCAAAGGTTGTGGTTATAATTCGGGCTAGAGAGAGAGAGAGAGAGAAAGAGAGAGAGAGAGATATTGAGACTGTTTGTATCACCTTCTCACCACTGTGGTCACAGATCCCCTGAAAGAAGCAGCATTTCTGTCTGATCTCAGATCTTTTTTCTTCCTTTTTTTAAAATTCTACGTCAGCTGAAATCATGGTTTGGTTCTTGAAAACAGAGTTTGTCCTTTTGCCTCTGTCCTGATGTGTGGTTTGAAACTGTCCGTGCAGTACGGTGCAGCTCAGTCAAGGTCACCCTCAGTTTATCCAATGGTTGAGCTCCGCTACGCTCCTCTCTTTAACTCCGTTGGTTCCCTGCACACGTTACCTATCAGATGTGACCAATCGGACCATCCGACTAAAGTCAGACTTACAGCCTGCACGAAAGAATTTCATCATCTGCAACACTGCTTCTCATTTTCAGGAGTGATTTCCCAAAAGAGATTCTTCACACACTATTTGAATACGCACGGTCCCACTCAATGGTAACATGTCATTTGTTCTATTAAGGCAGGAGAAACAAAAGCAGCACAGACCATACACTTGTAATGGTCCTCACTGCATGGGCATCAGTTAGAGAGAAGGAGAGCCGCAGCTGAACTGAGCTTCGGTGACGTTTCTCTGTTGTTCAGAGGTCACTTCCCAGAGTACAGTCTCACTTGAGAGAACAAAAGTACTAAAGCACTGCTATTTAATACTCAAGGAAGCGGGTGAGGTGTCTCATTATCATAATAACAGCATATTTTTCAGTGGACTTTTTGTCATTGCTCATTGGTATTCACCATATGGTCACATAATACTCCATCATGTCTCTAACGATGTATTTTAATATCATTTATACTTGATGTCTTTCTGTGTGGACTCAGTTCTCTCAGACCCATGTTATTATTTTATTATTATTGACATTCGGATGAGGAACGAGGTCAACTTGAAGTCTTGTTTCCAGTGACATAAATGGAGAAGACTTTTGCTGATTTTTCAAAACCCCTTAATGCAGACACTGACTCCTCTGAAGTCAGATTTACAATTTACAAATTACAATTGTAAGAAATTGTCAGGAATTTATTGCTTTAGTATATTACTGTGATTGAAAGTTGGCGTACCAGAAAAGTATATT